CTGAAGTTTGCTAAGACTTTAGGTCACCTGTATTGCTATGGGTCATTATGTATTAGGATTTGTTTCCTTTTTCCTCTTCAAGGCAGGAGTTGTTAATGCTCAGTGGATAACTCAGTCTGAGGTCACTTGGCCACGAGAGGCTACATCTGACCCCAGCAGAGAGAGCATCACACCTCCCAGATGTGCAGGCCTCACTCAGACAGAGCAGGCTCCCTCCAGCTGTCTGTGAAGGTGAAGGGCAGAGGAGGGGGTGGCGGGGACAGGGTGCTGCGTAAGGGCTCGGTGACTGAAGGGGTGACCCGCAGCGCCTACGGGCTGTGCACGCCCCTCTTCCTTCTTTCTGTCAGCGGTCTCATTTTGTTCCTGTCTCCTGTCGCTGCTGCACAGAGGCACCTGGGGGCCCCCTGATGTTTGGGGTGGCCGAGGTCCGTGTGCTGCAGAGCTGTGGGCGTGGGCGGGGAGCCGTGGGAGTGGGACTGGGAGCAGGCGTGGAGGCTCTGTTTTCCTTCCTTTCTTTTTTTTTTTTTTTAAGATTTTATTTATTTATTTGACAGAGACAGACACAGCGAGAGAGGGAACACAAGCAGGGGGAGTGGGAGAGGGAGAAGCAGGCTTCCCGCGGATCAGGGAGGCTCTGTTTTCTGAGTTCTAGGTGACGCTCAGGGCCCCGCTTGCCCTGGGCACCTTCCCCCAGTGCCTCCCGGCTTCTCCGGCCTCCACCACACTGACCCAACACTTCCCCAGCCAATCTGCCTGCCTCCCTGCAAACAGCGGCCTGAATTCATAGTGGGCTGAGACCTATTGCTGGGATGGGAAGCAGCTTGTCCTCGGGCCCCGGAGGGGAAGTTCTAATGAGTCCAAGCCGGCAGCCTGTTCTCCCTAGTGACTGGTCTCTCCTTCAGTGCCTGACTTAGTTCTGGCTCCTAAGGAAGCCGCCTGGGGGATTGCCCTTGCTGGATAAATCAGAACTTCTGGAGAGGTCTTCTTTTTCTTTTTTTCCTTCAGCCTCCTTCCCTCCCTGTCTGGCTGGAACACTGGCATGAGCACGTGATAGATGGAGCTGTGACACCATCTTGTGACCATGAGGCAGCACGCCTGAGCTTGGTTGCACTTGTCTCGTCCGAGCCAGTGCATTTGAGGAAATGCCTTGTAGGAGGTTTATTGGACGATGGGTAATTTTATGTGCCACCTTGACCGACTGGCCATGGTGTGCCAAGACTAAACTCCATTCTGGGTGTATCTGCGTTGTGCTCCCAGATGAAATTTGAGTTTGAATTGGTAGACTCAGAGAAAAGTAGACGGCCCTCCCCCGTGTGGGCCTCAGGCAATTCCTGATGGCTTGAACACCGGGAGAGAGGAAGGAAGGAGAAATTTGTCTGGTTTTTGCCTCACAGCTTGGGCTGGGACTTAGCTCCTCTTCCTCTGCGCTCAGACTGGGCTTACAGCCGCTGCCTCTCTAGCTCGCAGGTGCGGGGTTGTGGGACTTCTCAGCCTCCATAATTGTGTGAACCAACTCCTCATGATAAATTTCCATTTACACCTCCCCCCGCCACTTGGTTCTGTTTCCCTGGGGAACCCTGACTAGCACATACACAGCTATACTGAGGATGCACTTGGGAGCCGTGCCTGTGAGAGAGTGGGGGACACGGGGCAGGACGGGACGAGCAGAGGTTGAGCCACAAGCAGGCATGATGACCTTTTCCGATCCTGGAGAGCCTGGAGAGCCTGGAGAGCCTGGAGCTGGGACAGCCCTTCAGGGACAGCGTGAGTTGAGGACAGAGGGCTAGGTCTTTGTCTCTTCACACCGGCCAGTCACTGGATGTGGGCTGGCCTGGGGGTGAGGTAGCTCCCTCGGACGCAGCACAGATGGTTCCCAGGGACCCCTCGGCTGGGCGTGGGCAGCACCAGCACTCCCTGCAGTGGGGACTGGGTACCTGGGTGCTGGAGGAGTGTGCCCGCCCGGCATCCCCTACATCACCGAGTGACTCAGCCAATAGAACATCACAACAGCCGCCTGCCTCTGGCCTTTTTGTGGGCAGAAAACGAGGTTTAAAGTGCTGCTAGTCCAGCGTCCTGTTAACTTTCCATTGAAGGCATCATCCGAGGTAAGCCTTGGACCTGGGGGCACGCTGGTGAGTTGGAGAGAAGGGAGACAGAAGACCCAGCCTGATCCATGAAACAGATGTGGAGGGACATGACTCAGTGCTCCCACGCCTCACTCCCAACAGCAATGGATTCTACACGTCCACACCTCAGCGGCGGAGGCTGACATATCCCACACTGTCCGTCTTTCCTCTTCGGTTTTAGTGGTGGGAGCTGATTGCATACTTTGTGAGTGTGGGAGGCACTGCTATTGTCCACCAATATCCACCCCACCATTCTTCAGTAAGAGAACTCAGCCGTTTCACTGGGAATGGATGCCCAGCCAGACTACACTCTCTGGCATCCCCTGTGCGTAGGGTAGTCACAGGGGATGTGAGCAGAGGTAATAAGACCCAGTGATTCACGGACCTGTACCCTGTGTGTGGGTTTCAGGGAGTCTGATCTGGCAACCGGAGGCTCTGCACAAACTTGTGTTGGTCCAGGGGACCCACTTACAGCAAAGGAGGTGGTGGCGGTGAGCCTGTGGCTGGGGGACTCACCGGTCCTCCAACATACACCACACTGCCCAGAAGCTGCTGGCCCGACAGAGCAATGAAGCTGCCTTTCAGCTCAGAGTTTATAGCCCCTGAGTCCGGGTGCCCTACGTGCCGCTGTGTCCCCTCTAAGTAAAGACCTGGGTGTGGGAAGCAGGGGGTGGAGGCAGGACTGGATCCGCTCACATCACTCTCAGAGGTTTCCTGTTCTCACAATTCTGGCCTCTTCTAGAAGTCCCGAGCCCCAGAGGGGGAACGCTGCCAGAAAGGGATGTGGTAAGAGTCTGATTCAATGTCGAGTCCTGGCTCCTTGTGCCAGCAGACTAGCCAGGCGAAGCATGGGGTCTCTCTGTGGCCACCAGAGGAGGTAGGGGTGCTACTGCCCGGTGGGGCCAGGGGAGAACACGTCTGACACCTACATGAACCTGCTTCTCTGCCCAATTTTGATGGCATGTGGACAAGTACCGCAGCCATGGTCTGAGAATGGTGTGATGATCGAGGGTCTGAAGCCTCTAGGATGATAGTCTGGGTCACCCCACCAGGTAGCTCATCCAGAACAGAAGAGGGAGTCTACAGTGGGTAAGAGCAGAGGAAAAGGAAGTGGGAGGAGGGGTGGAGGACGGGATGACTGACCGTTGTGGCTCCAAGATTGAGTCAACCTTCCTCTTGTAAATTTCCACAAAAGGAAGCAGGCAGAATCCTAGAGATATTCTTCCAGTGGTGACCCCTGTGACGCTCCTGGATCCGAGTGGTGCCAAGGTGGACTGCAGTCAGCGCTACAGTGTGCTGCCCAGATGCGCTCCTTGGGACAAAGGCTCTCATTTCCTCCGTGGCCGGGAGTGCTAGCTGCTGATGGCTCAGAGAAGTCCCTCTGAGGAGCTGCCTGCAGCTGCAGGGCCCCCCTCCCAGGGGGCAGCCGTGCAATGACTGGTCTGTGCACAGTGCAAAGGCTCCATCCTCTGGTCTCAATTCAGGATATCTCTCCAGGTGGCCCCTCACCGTTCAACCTCTCCTCCCCAAGAAGCTGCCTGCACGCAAGGATCAGCCATGCCCAAGACTCACCTGTTACCCAGCGCTCCAATCTTTGTCTCCCTGCTGCAGCTGTGATGCTCCCTCTCCCTGGAGCCACTCCTTGCATTTTGTCCCATCTTGCCCGCTCGCCTTAAACTACAGTCACAGGTCTTATCAATTGTCCCGACCCCTCCACGCCTCTCAGTGAACACTGCTCATTCATTGTCTCATCCTTTTCCAAGAGTGTGCTCACAGACACAGCAGTAAGAGCTCCGTAATCAAACATTTTATACATGGGAGAAGTCATAAATAATATAACAACAGCAGCATACACTCCCTCTGCCATCAGAAATAAAGCATAATCATAAAACTGAAGCCCCTTGACTTCCTTACTTACTGATCAAAGTCCCTACCAATACCCAGAGGCAACCACTCTCCTGAATTTAGTGTTTAGCATTCTTTTTTACTCTAAAAGAATGGAATTAGGGGCGCCTGGGTGGCTCAGTCGTTAAGCATCTGCCTTCGGCTCAGGTCATGATCCCAGGGTCCTGCGATCGAGCCCCGCATCGGGCTCCCTGCTCCGCGGGAAGCCTGCTTCTCCCTCTCCCACTCTCCCTGCTGGTGTTTCCTCTCTCGCTGTCTCTCTCTCTCTGTCAAATGAATAAATAAAATCTTAAAAAAAAAAAAAGAATGGAATTAAATAGTGCATGCATCCATATTCAACTTTTTTTTCATTTAACTTTGTGAAAATCATTTGTGTTGATATATGTAACTAATTTATTCATTTTGTTACCATATAGCATCCTATTGGATAGCTATGTATCATTTACCAATTCTCCTAGAGATGACTTTATGACCTTCCCCCCTGCCAGCAAAAGCAGCATGTTGCAGTGAATGTTCTTGTCTTTGCACACTTGGGCAAGCTGCTCTAGGGTACACACCAAGGGTGGAATTGCTGGGTTGTAGAGTATATGCATCCTTAACTACTAGAAATTGCTAGATGGCTGTTGAGAATCACTGAATCAATTTATACTCCCACCAGCAGTGAATCAGTTCATTCTGCACCGCTCACAAATCCACATCCTTGTCAATTTTGGCATTGACAGATTTTTAAGTTTTAGCCCATCTGTCATGTGTGAAATGGCATGTCCTTGGATTTAATTTCCATTAGCTTAAATCTTAGTGAAAGTAACCTTCTTGTTTGTTGGGGCACCTGGGCAGCTCATTAAGCATTTCCTTTGGCTCAGGTCATGATCCTGGGGTACTGGCATTGGGCCCTGCGTCAGGCTACCAGCTCAGCGGGGAGTCTGCTTCTCCCTCTCCCTTTCCCCCCCTCCCCCTCTCATGCTCTCTCTCTCTCAAATAAATTAAAAAAAAATTATTTGTTGCACAGGGGTGCCTGGGTGGTTCAGTCTGTTGAACTTCTGACTCTTGATTTTGGTTTAGGTCATTATCTCGGGGTCATAGGTTTGAGCCCTGTGTGGGCTCTGCGCGCTCAGCGGGGAGTTGGCTTCTTCCTCTCCCTCCTCATCTGCCACCATCCCCCATCCCCCATGCCCTCTCTCAAATAAACAAATCTTTTAAAAATTATTTGTTGCACAAATAAATACAAAGTGCTCCACTCATTCATTCTGGTTCATGCATCTGTCCTGTTTGATGCCTGCAGAGATCCCATTCCTAGACTGTACATATGTTATACTCAGTTTATACACCTGGCCTTCTATCAAACGCTCCTTTTACATCCTATCCTTACCAAGCTCCCCAGCCAAAATCCATTTCTGGGGATTGTTTCTTCTTGGCTTTGTGTTTTGATTATGTTGCCACGATGCTGACCTATTCCTGTGACTTTGCCCTGGCAGATCCTCCCATCTCCTTGTCTGGAGACTAATCTGTCCTCTAACCTCGTGCTTGGCTGAGGTCTTACATCCGTGACCTTGACCCAAGTCATCCTAAACCAATCATAAACGTAGGCTGCAAACAGGCTGACCCCTTGCTCTCCTGTTTCTGTGATTGGCACTACTAACCCTTTGCTCAGAGGGTCCTGAAGCCTTCATCAATCTTGGTGTCAGTCTTGCTCCTTCCCCCAGGAGACCTGAGGCAGGAAAGCATCCTCAAGCTATAGGGACAACCGATCTAAGATGCTATAATTGCATGCAGCCAGTCACTAACTACTGTCCATTTTTTCTCTGTGAACTCTACTTCCATCATCTTCAGTCCTGCTGTCACCTCGCTGATTCTTGCAATGAGCCAGAAGAGCTGCACAGAACCCCTGAGGTCCCCAGTGATGTCCATAGGGGACCCCGGAGGCTGTTAGGAGCCAGCCTCTGAGAGGATTTCTGAGGCCTCGGGGCTGTATATTGGGAAGAGGTCCCTGGGGCCTTCCTGAGCTCCACTAGGAGAGAATCCCAGGAGACTGCCTGAGGCTGTGTCAGGAGGGAGTCCCTGCGGATCCACTGACACTTTATTGGAAGATCTCTGGAGATTCCCTGAGGTCATGTAAGGACAGGATCCCGGAAGAGCTCATCAGGCTATGCAACAAAGGAGCCCTGAGGATCTAGCGAGGGTATGTCTGCTGGGGATCACCAAGGATCCATTAAGATCACACCAAAGAGAAGATTCCTGGAGTTTCTATGGTGACAAAAGGGGATCCCTGGAGAGTTCCCATGGTTGTCATTCATCCAACAAACACTTACAGAGGCAGAAGACATAGGCCCCACTGAGCAGGATCTCACAAGCTACCTGTGGACACAGAGATAATAAAAACAGTCAGGTAAATGTTGCAGGGTGGATACAAGGACCTGTGGAAAGGGTATAAAATTCGGTGTCCGAGAGGTGAGCGAGCCATTCTGCTCTTCCAGCAGGGGCAGCCTTTGGGGATGGTGGGCATACGGCTGACATACTGCATATAAAGAACCTGGTGCAGATCTTGCATATGGCAAGAACTACATCAGTGCTACCTATCAGTAAGTGAGGAGGCATGGGCAAACTTACACATACAGTCCAATTTTTGTTTCACAAGAGAACTGGCAGAGGTGTGTCAACGGACTCCCGAAAGTTAAACTGTACTGCAGTCGTGAAACGCCAGGACCTGACTTCTCGGTCCAGGTCTGCGACCAAGAGAAATCTAGCGCAAGTCATGCATGTCACTTCACATCTTCCGTTGGCTACGTCAAATTAAAAAAAACAAACAACAAAACACCGAAAAATAACTTCAGCAATGTATATTATTGAGTCTAATACACCCCAACTATTATTTTATCACGTAACCAATGCAGACTTATTCTTTTTAAAGATTTTATTTATCTGAGTGAGCTCTCGAGAGAGCAAGCAAGTACGAGAGCAAGAGCACTAGCCGGGGAAGAGGCAGGGGGAGGGAGAAGCAGAGTCTCCCCGCCGAGCAGGGGGCCCGACGCGGGGCTCGAGCCCAGGGCCCTGGGATCATGACCTGAGTCCAAGGCAGACGGCTGGCCGACTGAGCCGCCCGGGCGCCCCACCAGTGTAGACTTACTCTATCTCCGCTCTGTTTCGTGCCGACTCTTTTAAAACCCTGCTGGTGGCTTACTGCGCCGGGTTCCGCGAGCCCCCAGGCGCCACCCCCGCTCTGCCGACCCCCGGCTGCCCCTCCGCTGCCTCCGCGCGCCCCGGACCCTCCCGCCGCCTCGCCCAGCAGCAGAGCATAGAGCCGGACGTGGGCCCCAACCAGCCGCCAACATACGGACTCTCGCCGCCCAGACCGCAGCCACCACACTACCTCCCCAGCGTCGCCCTTTAATGCCGTCAGCGCCCGCGCCTTGCGTCAGGCGCGCCTGGGACGGAGGCGGGACTTCCGGACGCGCGGAGGCACAACTTCCGGAAGGAGGCGGAAGAGCCTCTCGGCTCTAGGCTCGGGAGTCCGGGGACCGCTGAGGAGCCGCTCGGGGGACAGGAAAGCGCCGCCGGGCCTGGCCGGCCGCACTCGAGGTGTCGGGGCCGCGGGTCTGAGGGATGAGGAGGGGCCATGGCCAGCGACGGGGTCAGGAAGCAGTTCTGGAAGCGCAGCAACAGCAAAGTCCCGGGCAGGTGGGTGTGACGGGGAGGCCGGGTCGGGGTCGGGGGTCAGAGGTCAGGTGGGCGCGTAGGCCCGCTGGGCTGCGGGTGGAGTCGGGGGTCTGGGGAGGGGTGAACTGGGCTGTGAGAGGGCTGCTGGGGACGTGAGGGACGTTGGGGGAACAGGGGGCTCGAGCGCAGGGTCTGGGAGGTGACAGGGGCTGCACGTAGATCGAGGCTTGAAGGGAGGAAGAGGAGCTGCTCGCGAGTTTTCCCGAGACCGGCAGGCTCTCCTCTGTGACACTCCTGGGCTCCCTGGGGAAGCCGAAAGGGACCGACTCGGGTCGCACTGCGAAGAGTTCGGTGGAGTGCGGAAACTGGCCAGCTGGCCGGGGCGGGCTGTGCTTGCCGGGCGATCGTTTCTCCGAGGGGGCGTGGCGGTTTGACCCACTTGAATGGCCTTCTTGTCTCTCCTGCGGACGCCTGCTTTTGGCCTCGAGCTCGAGGATTTGCTCCAGTGGATTTGAGACTCCCTGTGAATTTCCATGTATCCCACTTTCTGGCCTCAAAACCAACTCCTTTCTTGAGTCCGCAGCAGGAAGCAAATTAAGAAAAAAAAATTAAACAAAAAATGAAGTGCATGCAATGACCTGGGTGCACCCTGGAAGCTGTTCGGCTCCAAAGTCCTGATCGGCGTGTGGCTGATCCCCGGCGAGCGCCCCGGGGAAGGTGAAGACAGTAGGTGGACAGTGCCTGGGAGAAACAGCTGCTGGCGAACGTAGATTAGAGAGAAACAGATGTCAAGATTTCTAAACACGGTTTATTCTGTTTGTAAACTAATGTCTGAATACTGAAAATTAGGAATTGTGGTATTAAAATAATTCCATGTAGAATCATTTATAAACACAGCTCATTCGTAAGTGTTGCATAAGAAACACTATGGGTGGAGTGGTAGAATTGTAAACTTTGGAATTCACTGTGTTCGGTCAGAAGCATTCAGTTTTCAGAGTGATTTGGGGAATTCGTAGGAGTGAGTTACTGACTGCTCAGACACACTGACTTTGGAGGGGATCAGCAGAGGCGGCCAGAGATCCTGCTTCACGCCACAGGGTTGTGCATGATTGAGGAAGAAAAGAGCTTTCTTCAAAACCAATGTCAGGGTCCAAGGTGATGTGAAAATTCTGGAATGGCAGAGAATAGGAGGTCCCAATAGTGACAGAGACAGATGCTCCAGAACATAGACCCCGGGGAAAACGAGCCACATGGCAGTAGAACTTTTGTGTGTTGCCTTTAGGTCTTGAGGTTTTGGTTCTTCCTCAGTTTAAATAAACTCTGATTCTTAACCAGCTGAGCTCTGAGGATAGTCGAGCTGCAGTATGGAGTTATAATGGTGAATAAACATTTGGATTGAGGACTATCTCTTGGTAATTTGTCTTTGTATTGGATTCAGTAGTGGCCCCCTCCCCCCATTCATGTCTATCTGGAAGCCTGCGAGTGTGACCTTATTGGGACGTAGCATCTTTGCAGATGTGATTCAGCTAAAACGAGGTCATACTGGGTTAGGGTGAGTGCTAGTCCAGTGACTGGTATCTTTTTTTTTTTTTTTAAAGATTTTATTTATTTATTCATAAGAGACAGAGACAGAGAGAGAGGCAGAGGGAGAAGCAGGCTTCCTGCTGAGCAGGGA